AGAGACTGTAAAGGTCTCCAGACAGGTCTTGAGTGTAAAAAAAAAAGTTCTGGCACATTCTCTGCTCATGTGATTCCAGCTTTTCCCTGTGCACCCATACAGAGCCACCAGTTCTCCTAATCACCACCCCCCAGCCACAGTTTTCAATTATAAGGAGGGACCCCGGGGTATCACAAGTATACAGTATTCAATATGTGTGTGTTTGTGTGTTGAGGGCAAGGTCAGAGATTGATCACTGCTGTGAGATCAGGTTATTACCAGATTCGTGTTCATTTGCTCATTTACCCATTCACATTCACTCACTCATTGCATTCTATGGCTCTTCATTAGCAATCAGTGAGGGAGGTGCAGGAGGGTCCAGTAGGCCTGGAAGCCATCAGACATGCAGGCCACCACACCAGTGGCCCTCGGGGTGCCCTGCGAGGGACACTTGCTCTTTTCTGACCTATTACACAAGTAAATGTTAAATGAGGGGGAGCAGACGGGGCTTCTCGTTGACATTCCTGTTTGTTTGAATGGAAATCTGGCAAAAAAGACTGCACCCATGGGTGCTGTCCTATAGGCAGGCGTGAGTGTGCCACTGCAAATGGCAGGCGAGTCAGATGTCCATCTCACTGCCAAAGTCTCTCACAGCCAAAATGTAACACATGACACAGAGGAAAAAAACATAAATGTTAATTTGTTATTCTAAACCAACAACCTGCAGGGATGGCAGCTACAGTGCTTGGCACATCCAGACTATCAACAATGATATGATTATTTAATACACAGGAGCCAGATTAATATTAACCTTTCTCCACCTTATTGGTCTTGTCTTTATCAGGGCAGGAGGTCCTAAATTTGATCAGTATTTAGTCTCCTGAACCTACTAAAAATATGACTGTCTTAATGATGTGAGCTTACTACGTATTCCTGAAGTTTGTTTAATATTTATAAAGGCTCAGTGTGGGCATTACATGGAATAATACGTTTTTCAACAAGTATTTAGAGAACGCCATGCCTGCAAACAAATGGACACAAAGGTCAGAAAAATCAGTGACTGCAGCATAGATTACCCACCTATAGTTGACACCACAGTTCCAACAAAATAAAAAGCCCCTGTAAAATCCCATCGTGGCCTCAGAGCATCAGCCCGGATCCCGGCGGCGATGGCAGCCTCGTACTCCCGCAGGAATGAGTTGAGGTCCTGCAGACTGATGTTGAAGGTCTCACTGAAGTTGAGGAGCGTCCCGTTCCAGCGGCCGTGAGCCCGCAGCTCCGAGGGCCTTTCGATGGCAGAGAAGACCGCAGCGCCGCAAAGCAGATACACTATTATAAGGATGGCGAGAAGCACAAAACGGCCGTTGTCCTCGTTGAAGTGCAGGGAGCGGCAGCCTTGCAGTCGCTGGCCAGGCATCATCCAAATTTCAGCACCACTCGCGCGTCGGACAGCGACAAGCTCCACATCGGAGACGGCATTCACTGGTCTGCAGGTGTCCTCTGGAAGTCACTGTCGCTCTCTCACTGCACTTCTATAGGCAACCTTTCTTCTACTTAGCCCGCCACGTTGTCTCATTGTAGCTGAGAAGTGATATAATCTGGGGCCGAGAGGCAGAGAAACGTTCCAACTTGGAGATATAAGTCTGTAAATTCACCAGAGAGTTCATGAGAAAAGCTGCCGGCGCACAGTTTCATGACAGACACATTATTTTGGTCACAGTTGTGGCAGTGCAGTTGGTGTGAAGTAGACTGCAGCTTAAATCCAACCGGACGCGCGTCTTTGTGTAAATGCAAGCAGCAGCAGGAGAATCCTCTGGGTCTTCTGCAGCATAATGCTTCTCAACAAAAGACCACAATGACGATCGAAATTCTGCAAGTTACAGATGCACGTGTCTGAAAAAGCCCATCCACGTTCTCAAGTAAAGTCGTCTGTCCTCAGGCTGTGGAGCTGCAAGGGAACGTAATAGTGGTACATTACATCCTTCCACTGCATATCACTGTGCGCTATAAAGCGGAGAATACACTATCCCGTTGCCTTAGACGGACAGCGGGTTAGATAAGATGTTTAGGTTGTGCAGAGGGTTGAAGAAGAGGAGCATCTCCGCACGTTCTTAACGGAGGCAGTCCTCAGATAACAGGATTTACATTTTCATCGCTTGAATGCAGCCTGTTACCTTGTGCCGTGCGCACTGAAGAGACTCTAGGTTGCTCATTGCAAACTTACTTTCTGCACCGTATGGAGAAATGCAACACTCCTGAACTAAGCTGCTTACAAAGTTTTTAAAAGCTTCAACACAGAGACAGAGACACAGGAAAACACACACTGAAAACAAAAAAACAAACAACAACAATAATAATAATGATAATAATAATCAGTGGCAGGAAAAGCATAGCAGTGTAAAAATACTCCCTTACATGTAAACACCCTGCATTCACAATATTGCTTCAGTACAAGAGTATTAACAACTTATAAAAGTATTTAAATATGCAGCAAACTGGCAGCTGTTGGAACTGTAGTTTAATTAATTAAGTACTGGATTATGATAACAGAATCACAAAAGTGAGAAATAATGTTTAAGTTTACAAAAAAATTAATTAAAACCATTAAGAAGGTGGTTGAATACAGTGAGATATCTCATTCTGCTGTCATTGTTTCACTTGGTTTAAATGAATGAGTGAAGCACATAGTTGGTTTGTACACCAAAGAAAGACAACCAAGGTTGGTGACATTTAGAACAGGTTAAAACATCCTATGGACAATATTGAGCACAATAGCACATCCATTAGTAAACCTTTACAAGGCACTGATGGATATGCAGTGGAGGTCCCAATAAAATCAATGATGACCCGGAGCTGCTGATTCCTGAAAGTACCAGTGATTGACTGACACACCGTTCAGCTGAAGGGGAAATAATGATTCCCTTGTGACAAGTAAGTAGTCACTTAATTAAAAGTGATTTTATGTTGATGTACAATAAAGAAACACATTTAACACTAATTCACAAATGCCTGAACAATAGCAAGCCTCAAGAAGAGGCAATATCAGAGCCCAAATGAGTGTATTAAATCCACTACTGTGATAAATAGCAGTTGTTAGTCTAAGTCAATAGCACTTCCTAATCTAGATAACAAAGAGGCAAACTGCAGGATAAGGGGATGCTCAATACAATTATTTCAACAGAACATAGTTTGTCCTTTGAATTCTTATCATTACCTCACAGGACAGAGATGTAAGAGAAAAAGATCTTAATAAAAACTTGTGGATATAAAATAAAAATTGGATAGCTTATCCAGTTGTTTAGTAATAATTTAAAATATTACAGAAAAACATGAACAGAATACAGTCTAACAGAACTGACTAGATAGTACCTACCATCAATGATGATGCTTAGCAACATGAGGAAAAATACTGGAAGTGGAGTGAAATGCAATATGTTACCTTTGCTTTGTCATTTCTATTCACCAGCCTCTAATTTCTTTTCAGGGCCACCGTGGGGTGGGGGGCTGCACAACATGCACTGGGTGGAGGGGCAGGGAACTCATTACAGGCTTTCAGCTATACAGTACAGATGCTCATTTATACCTCCAGGCAATTTAGAATCTCCAGTCCACCTGAATATGAAGCCAGCACAGCTGAAACATAAAGTCATTCTGCATCCATTTGTGTTCAGGAAACAATACTAGGCACTCAAACACTATATGTAGCATTTTGATACATAAATATATCTTAGTCGGATTTGAATGGTCACACTTTATTTTAGTATTATAGGCACACATTTAGTAATAATCTTATGTCAGTGATAATCTGAGTGAATATAACAACACTGTGTTCAATGTTGCTTTGGCCTTTTTAATTCCTCCTGTGAAGCATCCAGAACTCATTTAGACTGCTCAGTTATAATTCATGGTGAGCAGTATAAAGACTTTAAAATTCTTTTATAGCACAATACGATGTATATGGAATCATAAAACGATGTTCTTACACATATTAACCGTGAATTATAGAGCATTTGTTTACTGTTTAAACATGTATAAATCATTTACAGGTGGGTGTAAAACTTAATAAGCTTCACTTAATAAAGATGATCCATCATATATCTTTACAACTATGACGCTATCAAACATATTTACTGTCTACGTTGTTACCTAATTATAATGGGATGAAGATACAGTGAACACTTAAAGTGATCTTATGCCTGCACACAGTCATAGTAGAGTCACTTATGTTATAATCTAGCTAAATTAATACATTTTTAAAATTTATCTACAATAAGTAATCCAATAAAGCTGCAGTCTCAAAAATCTTTATTAAAAGTTTGTATTAATTATAAGTAAAGTTTTTAAAAAGTTTCCATGCGTCACTTTTAGAACTAGTTATGTTTGATTCACAAGAGACAATTGCAGTGTCTTTAATGTGCATTGCGATGCTTTCTGAAGTTTATTAAAGTAAGCCCATGTGACTCCTGCAATACAAGAGCCACTGGTGGCAATGACAGGATAATGGTTCATGGGGAGCATAGTGTAACAGAAGCACATGTAGGCAGGAATCATAAAGTCTGTAAAACTGACTCAGTACTGCCAGTTTTACAGTGTAAAACATCTAAAACTTTGCTGACATTTGCTAATGTTAGCCAGCATACAGTTGGTCATAGCACACCAAGTGGGACTGTAGCAGGAAGACTCATGCTCAGGATTTCAAATATTGTTGTAAACAGTGAATCATGTCTTCTTTCATTAGTTACATAATCTATCTTGAAAGCTGTTTGAACATTAAAAATAGATTCATAAATGTCAGAAAAAACTTGCATGCCACATTCCCCCTTAAATGCTGTAGTGCTTTACAATAGTCTAAGTGTTAAATGGTAAATGCGCCCCAGCCATAGCTCGACACACTCTAAATGGCCTATTACAGGAGATACAGAGGGCATGTGGGAAAGACAGCGAGAGAAAATCCTTCAGAGTGCAGCAATGAGGGCTCCTGCAGTGAATAAAAATGAGGAAGCAAGGGAAGACATGCACCCACTTGCAGTGAGAAATGAAACACGGTGCGGGAAGAAAAGCTAGTGAGGGATTTCCTCTCACCCTGCTGAGCAAGACCTGCTCCCAATGATTGAAAACACATTGTGAAATCAATCATTTTACCATTTTCAAAACTTCACACAGGGCCCTCTATGGGTAAATGGGATCTGATGCATTCCACAAGTTCTAGGACATCCGGTTGATGTGAGAGGTAAAAAGCATGAATGATAGTGTGAAAGGAGTGTGCGTACTTTGGCTTAGATCTGGCTTGACAAGGTAAATTTGCCCAACACGTTCCTCTAAGGCTTGAGAAATCCTCAGAAATCTCTTTGTCCATTGAGACCTCAGAGCAACACCTTGACACTTTGCCAAAGGTCAGCACAGTTACATTTGTGTCCATAATAACTATCTGTCCACAGTGCTGGTCTCAAAAGTACAATTTTGTCTTTTAATAAGAAATTTGAATTCATTTTCTGCAAAATCTAAGCTGCATGTAGCCTTGTGCCATTGCAAACCAGAGGTTTTCTTTTTAAATAAACTCCTGGAATAATCTTTGACACAAGTGCTGACGAAAGCACAAGTCAATCAGTGTGTCTGTCCCACAACTTTAATCCACTTCTTTTTTGCTTGTGTGCTTTTATGCTTACTTGTGTGTGGGGGATCTGTGTGTGTGTGTCCACATGTTTTGCTATAAATGAAAACTATTTCTCCACTCTTCCTCCTGAGAAGAATTTGCCATTAAGAATCCAATTAGATTTACAGTCCAACAACAATAGTTCTCCTCGAAAATCCTGGAAAGTAAATTATTTGTGGAGGATGCAAATTTGGGGTGGCTCATTCTGTTGTGGAACCTGATTTGCCTGGCTACTCAGCTTCTTAGCAGGGGGCTGAGGTGAAGTCTGTCCAACAATATATGATTTTCCACTCAACAGATTTTTCTGTTGCTCATCTTTTTGAAAATTTAAAGCTGTTTTGGTTGCGATGCCTCAGTGGAATAATGTAAAAGCTTTGTCATCTCAGGAAAGATGATATCATATTAAAAATGTTACAGAAGACTCAGTTTGCTTATATTTTGTTTGTACTTTTAACAGGTGGTTGGAAACAGGTGAGTTTTTGCAAATGATTGTCTCAGCTTTTTCTACACATCTGTATCCTGGTCCTATTAAATCGCTTATGTAACATGTTCATTGTAGTTATTCTGCACCGTTAGACCAACTTTTGTATGTTCCTCTAAATTGTAGCCTTTTAGGAGGATCCTCTCAAAGAGCATATTTCTCTTGATGAGATACTTGTGACAACCGTACAGTCAAAACCTGGAGGAGGTCTACACTAAGACCTCTAGTTAGTGGTAGTTCTATATAGCAGTAGTTCTTCTGTGCAGCCAGAGGAGCTTCGTATCTTTCTGACAAACTAAATGGAGGGAAGCAGTCTGTTAAGCATCTGAGGGGTTTTTCAGTCAACATACTGCCATTTATTTTACTGTCATAATCTTTTCATCAAGCTCTACTTTAGAATAGGAAGATAATTTGCACAAGGAGTGCATTACAGTGGATAAGCCTGCAGCATGGTGTTGCAATACTGCTGACTTTAAATATTCAACACATCATTCAAATCAAATCAAATCAAATTTTATTTGTATAGCGCCAAATCACAACAAAAGTCATCTCAGGACACTTTACAAAGTAAGGTCTAGACCTTACTGTTATCACTATTATTACAGAGGGAAAACCCAACAAATCCCCCTTGAGCAAGCACTTGGCGACAGTGGGGAGGAAAAACTCCCTTTAACAATAAGAAAAGTAACAAGACACAACAATCAAACACTGATCAGGTCGATGTGGCTGGTGACTGCTCGTCAGAGACGTAGAGCTGGCATTGTCATGTTTAACTTTGCATTATATGGGGATGAATTTCTACAACTATAATAAGTAAATGCCTGACAGAACACCATAAGACCCTTCAGTGTTTTTCCTTTCATATAGTTTTAATTCCTTAAAGACCACAAAACACAGAAATCAAACTTAACAGACTGTTAATTATTGAGAAAAGGCTGGTTGGGCAGCTTAACATCCCATGAGCTGCATCCCTGTTAGCTGCAAATCTCCTGAAGCTGCAAATGTCACAGTCTGATAGTTTTTCTATAAACCCAAAGCTCTGCTTTAAAACCAGTGAAGTCACACACCACATCTTCACTG